GGCAGTTGCCTCGGCTATGGTGTCAGCGAGGGAGATATTGCCCCTTGCCATCAGCTTGCTCTGTAGTGTGGGGTCTTTTAGGCCAAGGACGACCCGGTCTCGCATGGCCTCTTCTAGGTCAGTGAATCCGCACAACCCTCCTAGGTCCCTTAGATCAGCTACGAATTCGCTGATGCTCTCACCCTCACGCTGGTCTCTTCGGTAAAAGTCGTGCCGGCGGATGAGGGTGGGCACGGCTGGAGCGTAATGGTTTCGGAGGATGGGTGCGAGGTCGTCCCAGTCCATTGCCTTGACGTCTGCCAGTTTCGCCAAAGCCTTGGCCATTTTAAATATGGCGGGTCCGCAGTGTGTTAAAAATACAGCCCGTTTCCGGTTTCCATTGGCGTCCTTCAGGTTGCTGCATTCCAAGAACATCTGAAACCGATCGATGTAGGACTCCCAGTCCTCAGTGGCCGGGTTAAAGGGAGCGGGTGGCGTGGCGTTGCTGGCCATCTTGATGGTCGTTTCACGCCGTTTACCACATGCTGGATTGTCTCGTTGTCTTCTCTATCCCATCCTCGTCGCCAGTGTTACGTTCGGAAGGTCGGGTTCATTAAGATGAGAGACTTCGGCTCAGTAACAACAGCTCTTTATTTATCGGCTAGACAACACTCAAAAGAACAGTAGCTGCGGCGGCTCTTTTATAGAGCTGGCTGCGGCTAAGCGGCCAATGACACCGCTTCAAATCTGCCGTGCTTGGTTTTAGCCAATTGCGGCAGACTCTTAGTGAGCCAATCAAAACTGTCCAAGCTGTCCAATCAGGTAGCAGTTAAACGGACCAATGGGAATGCGGGGTTTCAAGTCTATGGATATGGAACAGTAAGTTTGCACGCAAGATGTGGAAAGGTGTACATATCACGCTATGGCAGAGGTGGTGAATCTAAGCTCTAGGGCAGGAGTGCCAAACTGGCGGCCCATGGGCTGATGCGTCATGTACAGGCCACACTCACCTTGGCTCCACATATGCAAAAAAAAACATCATGAGAAGTCACATGGTGCGATCGAGTTTGATCCCCGTGCTCTGGGGCAAAATGCCTTCACCAAGCCTCTTTTTTTTTTTTTTTGCTGGAATCTGAACCACAACTGTGAAAAAGACTTGGCTTTTTATTATTTTGAGCCACAAAACACCAAAACCAGTAGTACAGGTCAGGACATCTAATGCTTAAAAAAACTGAATGGAAATCATTATATTATTTATATGTATCTTTACAAATAACTCAAGTGGCAAATATATTCAATACACCTTCCTTCTCCCATTCCCTGCCCCACCCAACAGCAATCCTATGAGGTGGGTTGGGCTGAGAAAGAGTGATCTGCCCAAAGCCACCCAGATGGCTTTCATGCCTAAGGTGGGACTAACCAGTAGATCAAACTTCCTAAACTTGGAAAAGAACTCCCCAAACCTTGATCACATCCATGTATACATACAGGCTCATTCATTTTAAATCAAGGCCCTTGCCGTTCTCAAAAATGGTCAGTGTGGACTTCATCTCCAGAAGGTTATATCATTTGAACATTTGACAAGTTCAGGCACGTAAATCATTGTTTAATTAATGGATTGGATATATTAACATGATATTCCTGATAGAAATTCTGGATGAAGTATTTTATATTAGTAACCTAGGTATATTTTTCACTTTTCTTTAAGCTACGAGAACAACTTTGCAAATGCTGGTGTATTTTTTGGGACAACATTCTGAGCTTTTTTGACACTTTTATGGCTAAACATGACAGTGAAAAATAGATTTTTGTTGTGACCCATTGGAGAGATTTTGTAGCTGGATAAGGCTCATGGTGCAGAAGACAAACCCCCCTGAATAGCTGATTTTTAGAATGCTGTATTGATTGATTTTTATTTCACGGTTGCCTCTAAGAATGGAAGCTAAAATTTTCATTCGCTTTAATGTGCATTTAAAATCCAACTACTTTGCTAAGGATAGTCACTGCTGAGCTCCCATTTATATCTAAATCAAGTCTGCTCTTCACTGATAGGATCTTTAGCCCAAATTTAATTTAAACCTCTATCTACAATTTTCCTTAATCTTACTAACTGAGGGGAATCATTTCTACATTTACTACTTAATGTTTAATTGGACTCTTGGAGGTTCTCAGATTATTTTGTGCACACAGTGAACCTATTATCAAAACCCAGACCTTGTGATTTTGCATTGCAAAAAACTTTCAATCACTCAAGAGTTTCTGAGAAATAGTAGGGCAAAACACCTCTGTATTTCTGAGATACACTTCATGGGCCTAGTTTATCACAAACATAGCAAAAGCTAAACCTGTACAAGCTTCCCGAATCATGTTGTTCAGAGGTGGACAAATTGTCTTAATAATCTAAGAAAATTTAGTTTACTATAGAGAAATAGATGCTTTCGTCTTAATGTAGCTAGAGCACAATGCTTTTTGTGTAATCTGAAACAAAGCTGCTTATATAAAGAAAGAAAATATTGGAATAATTCCAATGTTTTAAAAATAAGATTTTTTTTTCACTGGCACGCTAAGAAAAGCAAGCAAGTTTATTTTTAAAAGAAAAAAATATATAGGATCAGACGCTCATTTGTGTCTTGCCAACACACAAAGCACTGTGATTCTAAAAAAATATATGCTGTGGAAATGTTCTGCCCATCATTGCTTCCTTCCTCTTCATTTCAGACATTATTGCCAGGTTTTACAGCCACCATTGTGATGATTGGTTGAAACTTATGGTGCCACAGTCTTCAGCTCTGGCTGTGACCCACCCACTTTCCCATTTCCAGTGTTAAAAAAAAACTGACCAGGAAATGACAGTCTTCTCGCTCTCTCACTCTCACTCCCTTCAGATAAGTTTTACCAGGGAAGGTTTGATGTGTTTTGTTTTTTTTCTGATGAGATCTGGGAGCTCAGCTGGAAGCTGCAGTATCAACAATAGGATTAAAGCTCTTTCTTGGTGCCATACCAGTTAAATGATTAATATTGCCCAATATGTACAACAGCAGGGCAGCCTGCCCTGAGCTGGCCTTTCTGGCCTTTGGTATATATCTGGAAAAATCTATTCCTATGGTACTACAGTAGGATGTTGGCAGTTTAGAGAGAGTGTGAGCTACGTACAAATGCAACAATGAAACTCTCAAGCATTTAAAGAAATTTAATCTGCCCTACGTATTCATGGACTCAACACCACTTCATAAAGCATGAAATATTTTTTGTATCGCCTTCCTTTCAATTCATTTCTATCATTCACTTGTAGAAAGATTTGCCCAGGAGGTAATGATGGAGAGGAGATAATTTATTCCAAGTATAGAGAATTTGATAGTGGTGGAGGCGGTGTCAACACAGTCAGAAAGGAAGTGTAATTGGAATATATTTCTTGATGATAACTAAAGTTTCCTGTTGTCAGTAAGCTAATTGTCACAGAAAGATACATTTGTTTTACTCATTGCCAAAGGCACTGGATGGCTCTCAGTCTTGACATAAAATAATGCCTCATGTATGTATGCATGCATGCATGTATGTATGTATGTTATATTTGTATCTACATAAAAAGAATGAAATCATATTATTGATTCATGACGCTTGTGATAAAACCGACTCATTTGAACTTGTAAGGTTCAGCTATAACTTAAGATCACGATGTGCCAAAAATGAACTTAAGCAGAGGCTTTGAAGAACAAAGTCTAACTTTTATTGATCAATAAAAGGGTAAGACCTCTCCTCTCATACACACAGATATGTGAGGAAAGTTACAAAGCATATAGGCGAAAGTAACTCTTCTTATACCTTAAGATTCTTTTAGAAGTAGAGTAATTGCATTGTAAAACACTCTAAGTTAGATTTACATCTTTTCTGCAAAAAGACAAATGTCCTCCTGGCACTTGTTTATCTTTCAGTATCCTTTCTCCTATTGTCTGTTAATCAATCACAACTGACCAGTTAAGAGGGCTATTAACAGCATACTTCAAAAGGTGTATATTGCTCCAGATGTAGGGGGTTATGTTCCCAGGGAGTACATTCCATTCAGATTGATTTAGATGGGATAATCATGTATCTTCATATGAGAGAGATGTAACTAATTGCATGCTAGTTTTACAACACAAAGGTTAGAGAAATATTTTCCACAACAGCAAGATAAGAAATGCCTATAGAGATAAATACTTCTATATACATAGGAAAACAACTGCCTAACATCAAGATAAGACATGCTTATAGAGTAACTCTCTATAATATTTTTTATTTCTTTCCTTTATTTATTACCCTAACAAACTGTTTCATCAGTCTGAAGTTCTTTTGCTTGAGAATAAACACTTTATTCAAAATATAATAACCTAGGAAAACAGGTTTCTATAGCAGCATCTAGTGGCCAAAAGCAAAGAGTGTAACTTAGGGATTTAATTGTCTTGGCTTCCATTCAGATTCCTTTCGGGAACTGCCAAAATGAATGCAAAGGATTTCAAATCAAAAGGAAGAAGCCGTTAGAACCAATGTGCTGGCTGGAGACTAGTGCTTAAGATGCTTAAAATGATTAAACCAAGGCAGAATTTAAACTAAATGAGGCAAAGCAGGGAGGGAGAACTAGGCTATTTTTGGTGTTGTTTTTGTAATTTTAAAACCTTGGACTTAGGTGAAAATTATAGGAGAAACTATTTAGATAACCATGTGAATTATTTGGGGACAATGCCATTTTATTATAGGGGAAAAATAGCATGCTTCTAAAATGAAGCTAATAAAATGGAAATCTTTGACCTCCACACCCATGTTTATTCAACATTATCCTGACTCAAGAAGAGATAACAAAATCTGCTTCAGCTTTAAGAGTTGATTGGATTCCTTCAATTTTATTTCCCCCCAGGTTTATGGTTAGATTCCTTTAATATAAAGCAGAGATCTTCCGAAATAAAAACCAAAGACTTGTCTCGCTGATCATTTTGTGTACGCACCCAGCCCTATTATTTTTGCCTTGTTCTGTTTTGGTTTCGCAGGATCCTTTCACAGCATTCCATTTGGACAAGAATCTAGTGAGAACATACTTGAAGCCTTTACTCATTGGGGAGCTTGCAGCAGATCAGCCCAGCTTTGAACCCAACAAAAATGTAAGCTTTTTGGAGAACTGCCTTGAGAAAGAGATCTTTGCTGATGCTATGAAGAATCTGCAGCAGTGGTTGTATTCAGCTGGTCCACACCATATCGGGCGAACCGGTAGCAAGAATGTGGCATGGGTTGCCGAACTGGTAGTAAGTTCTGGCTGGCCACGCCCCCGACCCAGTTGCCCTCCCGCCCCATGCTCACCCCGCCCACCTGATGTTCGCCTAAGGTATTTTTTTCTTTTTTTCCCCCTCCCGACAATCAGCTGTACATAGTTCAGCTGTGCCAGGATTCCCCTTGCTGAGGCCCAGGAAGGCAAAAAGTGGGTCAGCCCCCCTCCATTTTTTGCCTTCCTGAGCTTCAGAGGAGCCTTAGGGGAGCAAAAATGCCACCCCTGAGGCTCTTCTGAGGCCAGGAAGCTCCCAAAATGGAGCTTGAAGGGATGCTGTGTGCCCCTCCCATGCTCTGTTTTTTTTTGTCCTGAGCCTCAGAGGAGCCTTAGGGAAGCAAAAACGCCCCCCAGAGGCTCCTCTGAGGCCCAGAAGACCCGAAAAATGGGTGGAGGGCTGCAAAAAAGAAAAAAAGCCACACCCACCCAGTCATGTGGCCACACCCACCAAGCCATGCCCACAGAACCGGTAGTAAAAAATTTTTGAATCCCACCACTGATCTGCAGTAAAAACATTGGGAACAAAGTCAATGATACCTTCCTTTGGTGACCTGCCCAAAATAGGGAATAGAGAAACATACTGTAAGGAGGAGTGGGACATGTGAAGAGGCAGTTTTCAGGTGAGAGAAGACTGTGTAGTAGTAAAACAAAACAAAAATGATGAATTAGAATCTCAAAATGGGGATAAGATCTAGAAGATGTTTGGAGCAAGAAATGTTAAAATGTCTAAGAAGTAAAATGTCTCATATATTCACGTGCCGACTTTCAGAGCAAAGAAATTTAACTTGGAATGATAGCTCAGTAGGAATAGGCTTTCTAAAAAGTATATATAGATGAGTATGCACAGAGCCACACACTCTGCATTACAGAGTCTTTTTGTTATGAAACTAGAATAGGGATGGCATCCCTCTATTGAGTAGCACTAGGACAAAAGCCACATTTGTCTTTAATTTTATTAATGTAAAAGTAGATTCAATGACTTGCCAAACACATGTTGAATACTTTCTCCTTTTATTGTTATATTTTGCTCATAATTTTTGGAAGACTTTAAAGACTATTGTGGTCTTTAGAGGTGCCCACAACCCAAGGTGTCAGGTTGTCTACTTCTGAATAAAAGTTGCCTTCAGAACAAAGGAAGTATAAACACTCCGGTTTTTCATAGAAAGAACTTGTGGAGGACTTCCGGGAGCTCCGTGCCACTGTTGAAAAGATGGGACTACTGAATTCCAATCATCTCTTCTTCCTCCTGTCCCTTCTTCACATCTTGCTGCTGGATGTATCAGCCTGGCTCAATGTGTGGTATTTTGGAACATCCTTGGTGCCATTCCTCATCACCGCTTTGCTACTTGGGACTGTCCAGGTATTCTGTTATCAGATGAAGCAGAGTGGGGATTGAAGCTTCAAAAAAACTGAATATCTGTGGTAAATTTAGACCTCTGTGAGGTATCTGTTTGGATTACCCTTAATTTCTAATTCATCTTTTCTCTCAAAATAAATGAATATGGTAATCATAAGTCTTTTCATTTGATCATTTTGGACAATTGTGCCTATTATCCTATGCTCATCTATGCAAAGAAAGCTCCCTCCAATTACATTAGTGATATTTTTTTTTCTTCAGGACTCTCTTTGGAGTCTACTTTTTCATGAAACTGATAGTTTAACTCCTCAGATCTAAGTCCACCTGCCTGTTAAACTTGTTTATTGTATTACCCAGATCTCTTCTCCTCCTCTCCTTCCCCCTTAACCTTCACTCTGTGTAATCTTCTGGGAGCAAAGACTTCACAGGTTACATGGTAAAGCCTTGGGTGCAGTCATGGCATTGAGGTCATGCTAGCTATGGCAATGTTTTCCAGGCCCAAGCCGGTTGGCTGCAGCATGATTTTGGACATCTTTCTGTCTTTGGCAAGTCTAAATGGAACCACTGGATTCACAAATTTGTGATTGGACATTTGAAGGTGAGTTTCATGAAAATGGGCTTTGCTTTTAACTATGTCATGGCATCGGAACTCAAGAATGATTGGGCCCCTTGCACTCAGGTTTTGCTCTTTCTAGTCAGAAAATAAATATCTGAAGAGGCCTCTTGCATTTGCATTGTTTTGCAGGGAGCACCTGCCAGCTGGTGGAATCACTGGCACTTCCAACATCATGCAAAGCCTAACTGCTTTCGCAAGGATCCTGATCTCAACATGCATCCTTTGTTATTTGCCCTGGGAAAGATACTATCTGTAGAGGTGAGTCTTGTAGGATTTGGGGAATGTTGTGGGAAGAGGGAAATTTTGCATGCATCCTGAAGCATCAACTCTTTAATGGAGCCCCAATACACTTTTAGTTCTTCAAAAATTGTTACCATTGTGTACTTTTGAACCTAACAGAATGGAAACATTATCAATTACATCATTGGGATAGTGACATGAATTAGAAAGGAAAATGAAATCTTTAAAAACTCACTTTTGTCCTGGGCCTCTTTACATGAGTTAATAGTTAGATACTGTTGAAGCTTATTTTGTCATGTAGACTGCTTCAGAAATTTTCGTGCAATTTCAAATAAAAAAGCACAGTTATGTAGATTTATGTGAACACTGGCCTTTTTTGTATATATTTGACATAAAAACATAGTGGATAAGATTAAGTATCATAATTGATATTGGTCAAAAGTACAGTTTTAAAACAATAAAAAGACTAACTATGTGTTGACTTTAAATGTTTTTAAATGGCTAGGTTTTAAATCTCATGGATGTAAGGATAGCTGACTTAAAATAAATGAAAATATTGGGAAATCTGAGTGGCAAATGGGATGAATTTTTTTTTTTTGACTTTAGGTCAAAGTATAAAAACAGAACACCAGAGGTGAAGATACTTTCTAGTTTACTTCATAAAGAATCAGATGTAGGAGTGTTTGTACTTTGAGCTTAAGTTGTGGGTTTATTGTCAGTGCCATGAGCTTTTGGTGCTCAGAGAACAATTTTGAAATGAAAGTTGTAGAGCTGGAGATGCTTAGACAGCCAGACACTTACATACTTTTGGAATGCAATGGCTCACTTCACTCCCAGGAGAAAAGTCTCTTTTCTTTCAGGGAGAAAGAAATAAGGGCCTGGGGAAGGAGGATGTCATTTCAAAGAAATGTTCCCAGAAAGGGGACTTAATTCTTAGACAGATGCATCTATATCTTCTCATATTGAGAATAATCCTCTGGGGGAGTAAATCCTGCTTCCCCAACCTTGCAGAATTTCTTTTTGAGAATGTCAGCATGCTGTTAACCTGGATTTGCAAAAAGCCTTTAAGAAAGTTTCTCATCAGGGACTCTTGAGGCAAACCTAGCAACTATAGATAAGAGGACCTTCCCTTTACTGGATTGCTTGTTGGTTAAAAATCAGAAAGTAAAAAGTAGGAATGAATGGGTAATTGTTTTTCAGTGGAGAGAGCTATGAAGACCTGTGGCAAACAGTGAGGTGGCCAAGGCTGCACATCAGTGGTGGGATTCAATTTGTTTTACTAGCGGTTCTGTGGGCATGACTTGGTGGCATGGCTTGGTGGGCGTGGCAGGGGAAGGATACTGCAAAATCTCTGTTCCCTCCCCACTCCTGGGGGAAGGATACTGCACAATCTCCATTCCCTCCCCACCCTACTAACCTGCTTTACAGCTCCGTTCTTCTGTGCAGGGCAACAAAAGAAGACCCAGCTGATCAGCTGGGACTTGGGAGGCAGAGAATAGATGGGGCCGGTGCCAGTCAGAGGTGGTATTTGCCGGTTCACCGAACTACTCAAAATTTCCACTACTGGTTCTCCAGAATCTGCTGAATACCACCCTTGCTGCACATCATTCTAAATTGTTCACAATAGTAAGAAATAAAAGTATTTGGGAGGACCTTGTCTTAGAAAGAAGGCAACTGAAAAGGAACATGCCTGAACATGTAAAATCATGTGTAATGTGGAGAGAATGTAGGCAGAGAGAAATTTTCTCCTCCTCTGAAAAGATAAGACCAGCAGTCATTCTGTAAAGTTGTTTGAAAGGAGGCTTAAAATAGACAAAAGGAAGCACTTCCTTGGACAATGTCTAATTAACTTGTGGAGTTCTTACCACAAGTGGCAGCTAACAGCTTGATTTAAAAAGGAATTGGTTACATTCATGGAAGACTAGTCTGTTAGTATTGAAGAGTGAATGTTATCACCCAGTTGTGTGGGCGGTGGGGGGGATGGCATACCAGGTGCAGTGACATTTAGGTTTCCATGTGCTGCTTGGAGGCACCTCAGAAAAATCTGCTTGGCCAGAAACAAACTGCTGGAGTAAGATGAACCACTTAAGTTCTCACTGTATGTGTTTATCTCCAAGTAAGTATGAATAGATTTGTTACTGCACTTTCTAATGTGTTGTTATGAATGAATTATTCATAATTTCTTTGACGACAGCAGCAGCAGCAACAAAAACCTATTAAAGGATTCCAGTTCTTTTAGTGGCTAGATTATGGATGAAAGAAATCATACAAAGTCACACACAGTACCTCCTTTTAGGCTCATACTGCTTCGATTACTTAGGTATGCGAGAGTAGTTTGAACTCTTTCTTTGTCTGGGGGATTCCTTTCATTCATTATTATTTTTTTGCTAGCCAGATTTTATAGAGGAACCTCATTGGTTGTTAGCTGTCACTTTATTTTCCAGGATAAGCCTTATTAAAAATAAAGCAAAGTTGAAGATTTTGGGGTGTTTCCCTTTTCTTCAAATGGTGATAAGTACCAGGACAGTTTACTGATTTTAGTTTCTTTTGGGTGGAAAACATTTGGAGACTAATGACATCTTTGCAATGCTCTTTATTGAAATATAAAGGCAAGGGACAAGAGAAGGCAAACAGGGACTTAAACCTGATATAAAACAATTTGCCTCCTTAATTTCCTGTTTCACCCATCATGTGGGTTTAACTGTTTTCACCTACAGTAGAACCATATGTCATCCTCGCTTCCTTCCAAGCTGACAATTGCTCTCCCCTCCTTTTTCTTTCGTGTATATTCTTCAATCTTCTACATATCACCTACTGGGAGCCACATATATATTTACTGATCATGAGCTCTCAAGAAAATAGGAGAAGTTGCCAATGCAGTTCTCTGGAATTTTGTATGGTGCCTTCCTGTGAGACAGCTTGCTAATCTGGGAGTGTAGCTTTGTCATACAAGCTGAGTGCAGATACACAGGACCAGCTTCTCTTGTAGACCAAGCGATTACACCTTCCTGTATTCTCTACCTACCTCTACCTCTTCAGACAGTGGTGTGCTATGTATTAGCAACTCCTAAATCAGATTGCATGTGGGTTTTAAAAACTGATGGCTTTAATGAAGAAACTGCAATTGCTTTTAGACTGGGTTTTAATCTCATTTGTGTTGTGCCAGTGTATATGTACAATCTTTTATAGGTCAGAGCTACAGAAACACTGGCACTGCTAAGATATCCTTAACCTCGGCTCAAATAACCTCAGCATAAATGGTAGAAAGTCATTGATAGACTTATGTTTGCCAGGACAAGTTTGTGCATGTATCTGGTATGATTTATTGAATGTTGACTTGCTATGAACCTTTCTCCCCATTCACAGCTTGGCATAAAGAAAAAGAAGTTCATGCCATACAATCACCAGCATAAATACTTCTTTCTCAGTGAGTATCACTTTCTTTCTGAAATATTCCTATTCTTATTAAGGGCACATAAGATACTAAAAAAAACCACAGAATTTTGTGTGTGTGTGTGTGGTGTGGTTTTGCTGCCATTGGTTGGAAGGAAGAGTGAAACCTTATTTATCTGGGAAATATGAGGATAACCTTTTCCTGTAAAAATGCCATCTAGTTATATTCCTATCAAGCATCATTAGAAGGAGACCTTTTTTGCAGCCTGTGTACAATATTACTGTAGCTGTTTCATTCACCCTAATATAATCTCAAATGTCTTTACCCATCAAATTATACTTAATACTCTATGGCAAACTGCATCACACCTGACAAATGAAGCTTTGTATCCCAGGGTTAACACAGACCTGGTCCACCTGGCTCAATACTATCTGTATCCCCTTTTAATAGTTGAAAATATGGTGGATGTAGATTCATATGAAGATGGAATAGAGCCACAGTGAACCAAATGGGATCTCCAGGAGCTGTGGTTAGAATACAGTATTGCAGGCTAACTCTGCCCACAGCCAGGAGTTTGATCCTGACTGGCTCAAAGTTGATTCGGCCTTCTATTCTTTTGAGGTTGTTAAAATGAGAACCCAGATTGTTGTGGGCAATATGATGACAACCACTCAGAGAGTGCTGTAAAGCACGACGGAGTGGTAAACAAGTCTGAGTGCTATTGCTATTGCTACAGACATCCTACTTATTGTGGGGGAAATGTTAGCATTATTTTACATCTGTTGGGCATGTGAGGCTCTGAGGTTTGATCCATTACAACAATTCTTAGGTCTTCCTGACACTTAGAGCCAATGAGTGAGTGCATAATTCTTCTCTGGCTTGCAAGAAAGTGAGACCACTACATCTGAATCTTAACAAAGTCCCCCTCCTCTTATTCAGTAGGTAGGGAATAGAGAAAGTGAGATCATTAAATATCTATAAAGGAGAATATTTATAGCTCAGCACTGATGATGTTACTTAGTTTGAATAATGAAATGCCTGCAAGAAAACAACAAGGCTTAGAAAGCACTAAGGACCCCTCATTTTAACCTTGAGCTACAAATATTCTATTTTGCTTTGAGTTGATTTTATTTAGACATGTAACTTCGCATTCTTCCTTAGTTGGTCCACCAGCTCTGGTGCCTTTCTACCTGCAGTGGTATGTTTTCTACTTCGTTGTTCAGCGCAAAAATTGGGTGGTAAGTAGTATTTCTACTATGGTTCCAAAAGGAGGTTGCATTACCCTTGTAGCATAATAATGGGAGCCACAGCAAAAATGTAGATGAGTTTTTAGGATACTGCAGGTGCATCTTGGTATGGGATTATACCATACTATTTGACAGAATATTTCTCTGTTTTTTGGGGGCAGGATTTGGCTTGGATGGTGACCTTCTATCTTCGGTTCTTCATAACATACTCATTTCTACTAGATCTCAAGAGCCTCTTGGGTCTCTTTCTCCTGCTGAGGTGAGTTCTATTTGATCCCACACTTTTCTTGATTTCTTTGGGTTGCCATGCCATGTCCTTGTAGGCAAAGCTCTGTGCCTTATGCAGGCACGTGTATTGGCTTTCAAGTTCTGCAATTCCCAAGACATTCTAAGAGTTGATTCTCACACATTTGGAAGGACACCAATCGGGGCAAATTGAATAAATACATACATCAATATTCAGAGCCCAAACCAGAATTTTGCTTTCTCTCTTGCTTGAGTGCTCTGATTCAGACCAGGAATGGAATGCCTTAGCCTTCCCTGAGAGGATGTTGCAGGATGGAGCATGATCATGTACAATGCCTTTTTGCATCTATAGATGCATTGTGTCTTCTCAGAGTTGCTTTTCAACAGTTGGCAACATCTAGTCAATCTTAGTTGATCTTGGAATGGCCAAGATTCCAAGCAGCTTTGGCCATGGTTATAGTACTTGGATTTTAGACTCCCTGGAAGTTTCAGGGTTGTTGGTTAGTCCTGGAAGTTTTAAAATCTTCCTGGAAAAAGAGAATGTCAAATCCCTTCTATCACATTGCCAAGATATGGTATGCATACACTCATATAGAGGTGAACTCAACAAGAACATGTCTTTTCCTTTCTTTGTCTTTTAATCAGAGTTAGGGTCAGGGCTTTCTTTTCACATCTTCCCAGCCATTATACTGACATTTTCTCAGTGGAAAACAAATGCTTAATAGGCTACATGTTGTGGTTCGCCGGCAGCCTGTGCAGACGGCAGCAGAATTGGACAGTGGGGAAAAACAGGGAGCAGTCTGGGAATCTGGGGAGGACTAGGATGAGGGTCCTGCATCCGATGCAGAGATGGGGCCAGGACCATCTGGGAGTTATGTGCTGACTCCGGAGCCTCCAGAGTCTGGCAGCAGCAAAGCAGAGGAACAAGGGGAGCCTCTTCCCAGTGTGTGGGTGTGCAGAGCTGCCAGAAGGCAAAAGCAGCTAAGACAAAAGGGGCGATTTGGGAGTAAGGTGATTGCCCCTCCCATAAGGTATAAGGGAAGTGCAAAGGTAGAGAAACCTTTGCAGGAAGCAAAGTCATTCGCTATGTTCGGATTAAACCTTGAAGCTCTGTGTGGACTTTGTATTTCATTTAGCTTTTTACAGTTAATTTGGCAGTTTAGTTGTTCACAGCAATTCAAAGGAGATAAAGGTGGGTGCTTATTTCAGGAGACTGGGGACTCATTACAGGCTGGGAATGAATATAATTCCCAGTGCTGAAATAAAACAAGAGTTGTTTCGACTAAGCATGTGCTTAATTACGGTCTCAGGAAGCCTTGGTCAGAATACTACACCCCAAGTCTATTTTTATCATGAAGGCTGATGGATTATGTGCCATCAAGTGGGTTTTAACTCCTGTGACAACATAGATTTTCTCCATGAGAATAGAGATTAATCTGCTCTAATTCACAGGGAAATCTACAACTCCAAAATGGTAATTTTTCCTCTCCTATCAAAAAGAGAACCAATTTGGAGTAATAATTAAGGTGCTGAGCTAGAGTGTTAGCTCTGGAAGCCACATTTCCTTTGGAGCTTCGGGGCTGCCACATTTAGTGCCTGCGAAAGCGGGAGCGGGGATTGCAAGGAGCAGTGGAAAATTAGCCACAACAACATTCCTTTCTCTGGGAGTCAAGGACAGTCAGCCTGTACCTGAATGGGAGTGACTGGGGGTTGTCTCCAGTTGGGACGATGAAATGATTGGACTATGGGATGGACTTGTGGGTGTAGAGGATGGATCTTTGACTTTCTTCTGGAACTCTCCTGGAATTCTCAGATTCAGGTTTTCCCAGATGTGCCAATATGACATCTCTAATAAAATGGAACTTTGAGGAATTGCTAGCCTTGGAGTCTTCTTTTGTGGAGGTTGTTACCTGGAACACTGACATAGAGACTGTGAGTTCCAGGATCCGCTTAGGCATGAAAGCCAGCTGGGTGACTTTGGGCCAATCACTTTCTCTCAGCCCAATTCATCTTTTGGGGTTGATATTGTAAGAAAAATAAGACGAAAAACATCACATACACCATTTTGAGCTGTACAAAATAAAGATGGGAAATTATTGTTAGGGTTATCGTAAACAATAAATATTATTTCTATAATTATTATTAATAATAGTAGAGGTTCTTAATATGCTACAGTTACTCTGAATAATAATGATCATGAATATTTCAGAAGCTCATTTTTTTTTTGCTAGAAAAATATAATATCTCATATTTGGTTAGTTTGCTTTTGTTTAATTTTTCTTTAGTTGCATTTTCCCCTAATTCTACACCTCTCCTGGTGTTTCTCTGCTACTTCCAAACTGCTTTATTTATTATATAGGTTGTAAAAATTGTAATCTGCCTTTATTTTTGCTGCATAGAATCATAGAAAGTCACTGGTTTGTCTGGGTGACACAAATGAACCACATCCCAATGGCCATTGATTATGATAAGAACATGGACTGGCTTTCAATGCAGGTGAGATGCGCATTCTCCCAAACCCTTATTTCAGGTGACATTACTTATTCATATATAAATGCAATATAATAGATGGAGTGGAAGAAGGCAAAAGGGAAAAATGAAAATCTTCTTTCGAGGAAGAAGTCTGGTGTGAAGCAAGAATTGTCTGATCTCAAGTTTTGATAGTCTTTAATAATAATAAATTTTGCCCCTTAAAATACCCCCCCCCCCAAAATATATATATTTAGACATGCAGATCAAGATCTGCCCTGCAATTAAAATACTGCACGGGACTAATCAGGTACCTGCAGATCCTTGAAGGGCTTTTGGGGTTGAGATCTGGTTGAGATTTCCTGCTACCTTCTGAGATTAAGAGGCTGTATTAAGAAATATGGTTTACCATTTAAGGAATAGCCATATGTTTGGGTTTTTTTTGGCCAGGGTTAGGAAGATCTGAGTCATTGCAGCCATAACCTAGAAGTCATATTGTTAATGCCACTGCTTCATTGCTGGTTTTCTGCAGTTCAGATTGCAAGTGAGGAAGCATATTTGTTTTGTAATAGACTTGATAGCATCTATGGGTGTAAATTGTTCAACTTTTCTTTTCCTTGTGGGTGAAATTCAGGGCCAAATTAAGAGTCCATTATAAGCAGAATATTTGTAAAGTGAACCATGCTATTACACCTTATTTGCATGTCAGTGAATTCTAAGGATATCAATTTATTTAATCCAGAACAGTAAAACTTAAACCTAGCTCTAATTCAGAGACCAACCCCTCTAAATCAAGGATCTAGAAAGTGGAGACAAGTCTTAAAGTTGTGATTGTTGTAACAGCTTTCTGCTTATATGAGACTCCACCATGGAATTCTCATACTATCTTTATTTTGATCCAAAGTATAAAACTCTCTTCTTGTTTAGAGTACAGATTGAGAGATCTGCAGGAAATGTCCAGCCAGAAATAAAATCAATACATTCTTAGAGTTGGCTTTCTTCTCTTTTCAGCTTCAGGCAACATGCAACGTAAACCAGTCCTTATTTAACGACTGGTTTACAGGGCACCTCAACTTCCAAATTGAACATCAGTAAGTACATTTGTCTTAGGGGAAATGGAAATTTGGGGAGGGGGGTATCACAGTTTCAAATAACCCAGAGCCTAAGAAATAAAGGGATAACTACTTTTTAAAAAAAGTTTTTAATTTTATTTTAAGGGGATATTGCTTGATAATTGTATTTGCTAATCTTTCACTGTTGTTCTCACCATATTTGTCTTCTGAAGTTTCACATGGGCTCCTGAATGAAGAGGAACATAAGTATAATGTAGATTTAAAATTCTGCAATAAGATCTCCGAGGTTCCTTCAAACCCTATTATTCTATGTTCTAGTCATTTGTCAGACTCATTCCAAGGAATATCAAGTTGAATTTCACATCTTTCATTGTTGCTTTACCTAGAATAAATTTCCTCTACTCTCTTTCCTGAGAACTTAACCTCAATCCTCCTACTTTCTCCTACAAAGACTGTTCTTTGTTCTTTAGCCCTTAAGTCCCTTCCCCCTTTGCCTGCTTATTCTCCACATGTTCATCCTTATTTTTCCCTGAGGAAATCAAACTGCCATTCCCCACTCTTTCACTCCTCCTGATATTCCAAACCTAAAATCATAAGCAATTTACTCTCAACAAAAGTGAATACTTCAATAGGGCAATACTTGCCTTCCTCCTCTCTGACCAGGTAGGTCTTCTGTCAACCTGGTCTTTCCTCACATACAGCACCCTCTTCTGCTCTTCTCAGTGTTTTGAAGTAGTATGAATAGCTGGCCTATAAAAACTGTATACGACTCAGTCAGTTGACATACAGACTTGCCAGGCTTCAGCAAAGATGAAATGGGGCTAGAAACCACTTTTTTTTTTCCTATTGCAGGAAACAGATACTTAATTGTTTCTCATTGAGAGAAAACAGTTCTGGACTTTTCTGCACTATAGCAACTTGTTCATGCAGATCAACTTTCATAATTTGTAACCATTCAGATTTTGAATAGTTCACGCTCTCTTGCGATCCACCCTTCTTGGAGAGGAGACTTGGATTCCCTCTAACCTTCCTAGTGTCGATGATAGATGCTTGTTATATTCTCCTCATTCTAGGTTCAGATAGTTCAATCTTTCAGCCACTGAACCCTGACAAGACCCATTACAATAATCTGTGAAGATGGTTTAAGGGAAAAAGATAGCCGTAGAAGGAAAACCCAATATGCAAGCAATCTTAGATATATCGCTGCCTGTTTTGCTTAAGAACTCAATCAAGCTAGGCAAGAGATGGCAGAACTCTGCTTAGATGCTTCTTCTAAACCTTTCTGTTAAGCTCCTTTGGGAAGAGGTTTGTCATGCCCCAGTGGAGACTGACTCTGAGGGAGAGGAGGAACAGCCGACAGGGAGTGGAAGTGTGGCTCCGGAGGTTGTGGAGGAGGCTGGGGAAGGACAGAGGACAGCTGAGCAGTCAGAGGAGGACCCAAGCCCATCCCTTATCCATCCTAGGGCACGCAGGGAGGAGAGGATAAGGGAGAGACATGGTCTACTCGGGAGGAGAGAGCCTTGATCCTCCTTCATGGGCTGCAGCTGTGACAACTGAATAAGAGTATGGACCTGCGTACTGGCGAACGCTGGAAACAAAGCGTGGAAATATCTCTAGTTTATAGTTCCTCTCTGAGTTTGGCATCCTTCCCAGTGTGTGTTATCTGTGGACATCCTCCAGCCCTTATCTTGCCTGGTTTGTGTTGCTTTTTTCCTTCTTCATGTAACTGTTTGTGTGGGGGTGTTTTTGTCTTCTGTCAAAGATATTCGGAGCTTGGAAGCAAAGTGAAGGAATAAAAGGGGCTTCACCTGTTTTCTGTGACTATGTTTAGTATCTCACCCTGGGTCATCACAAGGTTATTGGGCTTGAAGACATGACTATCTCATTGTTATAAGATGGGGAGCACTAGACTGCATAACATCTTACAGGTCTCTCTCTCTCTCTCTCTCTTTTCTTTCATGTAGTCTTTTTCCCACCATGCCTCGACATAATTACTGGAAGGTGACCCCCTTGGTGAAGTCCATTTGTGAAAAGCATGGCATCCAGTATCAATCTAAGCCTTTGCTCACAGCCTTTGCAGATGTTGTATGGTAAGCATTGGTTCTTATAACAAAGTTGAACTTTTGTTGTCTCAAAGGCACGCTTTCCCCAAAAGCAACTGGATTTCTTGTTTTTTTCCTTGAAAATGTTTCACTTCTCATCCAAGAAGTTTCTTCAGTTCTCAGCTTCTTCAGCTTCGTAGATGAAAGTGAAACATTTTCAAAGAAAAAAAAACCAAGAAAGTCCAATGGCTTTTTGGAAAAGCACCTTTGTGACAACCATAACCTGGATGGTAGAGAATCTCCATAGACATCAAACCTTTGTTGGCATACCAATTTTACTGATGAGAATGCATTTTTGGAAAGAATAAAGAAAACAACTTTGACAGAAATATGTAAGAACTGTTATCTAGACAAAGGAAGTTGAAACTCAATTTAGAGAAATGAAATAACATTCAGAATCAGCTCGTGCAGATGTCACCTTGATTCATTTAACTATAAGGAAGAGGAAGAGGAGGAAGTATATTGACTTATGGCCATAATGTAGCCTGATCATCAAAATTTGTAAGTCATGACAGTCATAAAACAGGTCGGTCCCAGATATGGAATTGTTCTGTGTGGCCTGGCATTTATGCAATTATGTTAAGATGAGGCTACAGCTGTCTCTGTAATACGGGCACTGAAAAAGAGCATGTTCTATTCATTCAGTGTGTCCAGAGTCACAGGAGCATGATCTCACTGGGTTAGGAATCTTCCTATATCAGCCTTCAAAGACATCATGCCAGAGTAAATGCTCTCTAGTGTTTAGATATGATAAGTGTTGTTTGTTTCATTAATTCATTAACTTTGTTTGCCGCTAATCTCACTATGAGATAACTCTGGGTGGCTTACAGTGTTCAAAAGAATAAAACAATACAGAAACCAATGATTAGCTATAACTAAAAGATGGGAGGGAGAGAGTAGGATGAGCAGAGGGTGTTGGATTGTGTTATTAATCTATCAAGCGCCTATATTGTGACGGTCCCCCATTGGCTAAGTATCCCCTGGGGAGGCAGATTACCTGTTTGTCCAAGCTAGATGTAATTAGTGCAACACATAGAAGAATCATTGCAGCATGGATAGCTAAATGTGGATCTGGCAATCAAGGATCATACCTCTTTAGCAGAAGTGTCCTTTGGCTTGTACAGCGAAAGAAAAGATGAGGCGTGCTGTTTCTTTTGTGCTTCGGGTTCTCTTAATGCAGGAAAGTCCCCTCAGATTGGGAAGCAGATGAGGACATACTTTCTGTGAAGATACTGCTTGTCTGGAGTTGATTTTGCTTACAAGATAGTTTGTTTTGGCAACAGCTACTTGAAGTTATCTGAAGTTATCTTTGACTACTTCTGGTATGGAACTCTCAGAAGAATCAGGGCTAGGGTCACTTTTGCTGTTATTGGTGAAGAAATGTGCTGACAGCTTTTTCTTGTATGAGTCAAACGAGAGACAGCAGTGTGAGATATTTTAGAACAGGGGTGTCAAACCCCTGTCATATTGGGACTTTTCTCCCCTATCACTAAACCAAGCATGGGCACGTGATGCATCCAGCCCGGGGACCAGGAGTTTGACAGCCCTGGTTTAGAAGGTTAGTAGCTTAATAGGGCAGATGCTGGTGCTGGACGTCCATATTGCTATCAACGCTGTGTGTGTGTATATCAGAATTGTTGTTTTGATGTCTGCTAGCTTTTTTCTCGGATTTCTCAAAATGTGTTCTCTATTTTTATAGATTTAACTTCCTCTCTTAAAGTGTGTTTGGCTCTTCACTCTTGACATGGCTGGCAGATTTACTGGCATGCAGCTGCCTGCAGATTTACTGCTACCTAAATTTTTATGGCTCTTATGACAGAGTCAGGACCATTTGTTACTTTTCAGTAATGAGGTGATAGACTAACTTATCCTTAAAGACTCTGACAGTTTGGATGTCATGAGCCTGCCATAGGATGGATTTCTAGGAGGAGTTGCTCTTGTGTAACACAGCTGTAGTTGGCTGCATTAACTGCTTCCAGATGCCCTCTTGACATTGAAGGACAGACTGCCAAAATGCCCTTGGGGCCAGCTTCTGCTGCCATTTTAACCCCCTGATTGCCACTGAGGATTTGCAAATCAAGGGCTTGTTGGAAGCTGTCTACCTTGAACTGCAGTATGATTTAAATTTTGTTCTATAAAGATTTCTGCAGACAAGAGGCAGATCTCATAGAAAGGCTGAGTAATGTGGTTGTGGGAAGTGCATGTGACTTGTTTCAGGAGGATGTCTCCCCTGCTCTGGAGGGTACTTGGGCTGAGGCTTTGGAAGGCTGAGGAGGAGCCTGACTTGTTCTATAGGGATTAAGGAGATCCTGAAATTGTACTTCTGTTTCTCATATTTGGTGTTGTCTCTGTGGTGGGGAGATAGTCAATCCTCACCTGTTTCTTTCCTTATTGGAAGTATTGGACCCCAGTATAATTACTGGGGCTCGACCAGGTTCGTTTCTTCCCTCTGGCTGGCATTTTTTGACCATAGGACTGAGTCAGAAGGGTTAAGGACAGTCACAGGTCAGGAGCTTATTACAGGAGTTGCTAGTTTGTCACCACCTTTGTCCTCCAGTTGTCTTTGAGGAAGTCTTAGAGTTCTGAGATTGCATTGGTAGAGGGTAGCATATAGAAAGGAAATGCAGATGTTCTAAGATATCCCATGCATATTTGGCTGGTGAATGGCATGCAAATCGATGTAAGCACATGAAGAAATCTCATAGGATTACTTGGTTCCCACAAGTCACAAATGAATGTGTGAACTGAATATGTTGAAAAGTATAGCCTTATACTCTGGTTTCTCTTCAGATGTATAAATCTTTCCCCTTTTACTATTGAAAATTATAGCCTCAAAATGTGATGAAAACACCACCATGGCTTATTCACTGAATGGTTTATTCACACATGCAAACCTCTATTTCACCCTATAGATAGTCCTTGATTAATGATCACTCATTTAGCAAATGTTCAAAATTGTGATTGTGCTGAACGAATACCATAGTACTTGCAACAGTCCTTGAAATTCTGAGTGTTGCAGCAACTCTCCCCCACCCCGCCACCATCAGGTCATGTGATTGTCATTTGGACATTTGGCAACCAGTCCACACTTACAACAGTTGCAGCATCTGACAGTCATGTGATCATTCTCAAGAGGGAAGGTTGCAAGTCGCTGCTGTTGCTTTTTTTTGTTGCTTTTTTTCCTGATGAACCTGCTACAGAGAACAAGATCTCAGGAATCTGGTACTTCATAGCATGCACCTCCCTACAGTGTTCCCTGCCCAAATTGTGTAGCAACGCCCTTCACCTGGCTGTGTTTGTATGGTGTCACAGCATCCCTCCACCACCCCCAGCCACAATTGCTTGCACAATGCTATACAGTCCCCTCGGCTGCACTTCATAACACTCATCTGCCTGCCAGCCTGCTTGCAAGCTGCCTGAGACTTTGGATTTCCTACCAGTTTCCCCATTGACTTTGCTTGTTGGAAGTTGGCAGGAAATCGCAAGTTATAGTCACACGAGATCCTTGCTTAATGACCTGCAATCTTCCTTTAATGAAGGCAGGATTGTCATGGCTATGATGCAATTAGATAATATTGTGCTTTACAACCATATTGCTTAGTGACAGACATTCTGATCCCACTTGCTGTTGTAACTTGAGGACTACCTGTATATCATTTCATGAAGAGCTTATGTACATAAATAAGTCCCATGGCTCTCTCCAGCTGATAGTACTGCTGTAATCCCTGTAATTTAATTCTCTCCAGTCCATGTTCTTCTATCTTGGATGATCGACACATTTCTTCTCCTACCATTCACATTTGTTCATTGGTGTATACCCCAGATTTCCTTGCTCAACTGTTAATGCTTCTTTGTGATTTCTTCTTCATTGTGACTGAGCTGGCTTTACCTCTTTTCTATTCTTTCTTCTAGTTCTCTCAAGGAATCGGGGCAGCTCTGGTTGGATGCCTACTTGCACAAGTAGGAGCCAAACACCATGCCTTGTGGAACAGTTTTGGCCATCCTTGTCACCTCCGCAATTGAAGAAAGCAAGTGCCTGGTTCACTCGGGGGAGATTACTCTTATAAGCTGAATTCTGAAACCTTGTGTTGCTGCTCCAAACATTCTCATAGTTCCCTTTTTAACTTGTGCATCTCCTTTCTGTCTGAGGATCTGAAAGTTTGTTCAAAAATGCATATTGTTCAGCCTTCAGGACCAGAAAGCAATACCAGGAAAGGCCTTCATTGCCACTTCACTAAACTTGGTGTTTAGCAAAAAAACACAAAAACAAAAACACACTACCTTAGTTGCCTATTCATTGTGGAGTACAAGAGCCTATTTAGTGGAAGCAGTTGAAAGGAGAGAACCTGGAAAGAGAAATTCAGCAGCTGGGAATAGAAACTCCTGGTAGGGGAGATTCAAACTGGGCCATAGCTTAGCACTGGAGAAGTTTGGAGAAGGAAGAAACAAAGGAGACTACAGGGGCTGAGAGCCTTGATCGGAAGCAGCCTATGAAGGAAATAAATCAATGATTTATTTAAATAGAAATCAGTCAGTTCCTGGATGTAATTCACAAGCACTAGAGAATACTTAGGCAAGCTTAACTATGGGGAGAAAAACTATGGGCCACAACTCCCTGACATTCCTGGATGTACCTTACATAAAAGGATAAAGAACATAATATAATTATCCACATGCCTCTTCTATAAGTGTATAAGACAAGTTAGTGAAAGGAGACTAATGAATGTTGATGGACTTATTATTAATTATTAGTGCAAATAAATGCTTTGGGCAAATCTGCTGTTACATTTTGGAGGTGCAAAAGGAGAATAAAGCAAATCTTTTGGTATTGCTTATTTATTATGGCCACTTTCTATGCCTGAATTAAACTTTGTTCTCCAGAAGGGCTAAACTGCTAAACTTTATGACCTGTTGACTTCAACTCCCAGAATTCCGGAGCCAGAATGGTTACCAACCACCTCTAAAGTTGTGTGCTACTCTTTGATTCTCATGCAAGTTGGCAGAGACAAGTCTTCGTGCTTTTCCCCAGAAAAATGGAGACCAATATCGCCCCCAGGGGCAAAATGTTCTACAGGACGGGGCAGTGGGAGATAAGTCTGTTGCCCTAGATCCCATCAATCATATCTCTTTAACTGAAGGTATCCATAAAATACCCTCTCACCATGACTAGGTGGTATGGTTGAGGTAATTCGGGCAAAACAGCTTCTCTGGTACCATGCCTTGAGTGGCTTTAAAGATAATAACCAACCCCTTGAACTGAAAGCAAACTGGCACCCAATGCAGTTCACACAGTAGAGGTGTTATAGCACAGTCCTTGGGGCACCCAGAACGGCTCACTTGCTCACATTCTGCACCGCACTAGCTGGAGCTTCCAGATACTCTTTGAGGATAGCCCCATGTAGGGTACATTGTAGCATAGGTTGATCCATACTACTAAATGATCCATACTAATAAATGAGCACTGAGGGAAATATTGTTTCTGTTGTTAAATGGATTGTACTGGGTTTTATTGCATAAACTTTATATGGGAGTTACCCAGATTATCCAAAGTTGCCCATGTAGTACAAGAGCCAAGTATCTCCCCCAATGATTTCTCCATAATCATGCTAGAAATATTGTGTCTAGTTCTGAGTAATTCAATTTAAAAAGGACAATATGAATTGAAGGAAGTGCAGAGAAGGGCTACCAAATTGGGGAAGGATCAGGAAACCAAACACTATAGGGAATGTGTAAAAGGAATATCTGAATATCTTCAACCTGGAGAAAAGAGAGCGTACAGAAGATATGATAGCCCTCTTCAAGTATTTGAAGGGCTGTCATGCAGAAGAAGAGTGGACATGTCCTGTTGCCCCAGAGACCAGGATCAGAACCAATAGGTTAAAATTACATGGAAGGAAGTTCATACAAGCTATCAAGAATAAATTTTCCAACTGGGTAGACTTAGTCAATAGAAAGCTTGTTATATGGAGTGATGAGTCCTTCATCAGAAGTATTCAAATGAAGAATGAGATGCTCAAACTGCTCAGGTGGATTCTGTATTAAAGATAGCTTCATACTTTGCATTGATTCCTGATAGCCTCACTCAAACTGTCAGAAGATGTACTGGATCGTGCAGAAAGATTTGGGTGGATGTCCCCAGATTCTGATGATGTATGAAAAATTCTTGCTTGTTAGACAGCTGAGTTCTGTGAATTCCTGTCACTTTTCATTGCTTTGATCTTGTGGTGTTACAGCTTCTTCTCTAAGTTGCTTCACTAATTTAGTCCGTGAATTTCAAAACAATTTTGAAATGTTTTCCAAAGTCATCGTTTAAATGTCTATCACATGTTCTACAAACTTGTTTGGAAATGCCATTTAATTGCTGCTTAGTTTTGAGCAATCTGTCACTGCTGCAATATAAATACTTTTTATGTGCTAGCACTGCTGGTTGCCATCAGGCAAGACAGTTAATTGGATGCCTGCCACAGTCCAGAGATATGCAAACTCAGACAGATGTTTTAGAAGTGAAGAATCCTTTTTACCTATAGTATTTGTATAGTATTTGGGTAAATATTAGAGGGGAAAAATTGACATTGCTATACATGTGTACTACAGGCCATCCATTCAAGCAAGCAAAGGAAATAGTTGAACTTTTTGCTAATCAGTTAGTTGAACTGTGCAGGAAATATGCCACTATAGTAATGGGGGACTTTTAACTACCCTGACATTAACTGGGAAACAAACTTTCTAGTGAGATCAAACAGACTCCTGACATGCCTAGCTAACTGACAACTTTGTCATTCAAAAGATGGAGGAGGGAGCTAGAGCAGGGGTCCCCAACCACCGGTCTGCGGACCGGGACCGGTCCGCGGAACAACTCCTACCGGGCCGCGGCTTGCTGGGCGCCGCCATCTTTTTTTCATGAAAAAGTGCTTCCGGTGAGCTTTTCCGAGGTCACCGGAAGCACTTTTTCATCAAAAAAATATGGCGGCGCCCAGCTGATGCCGGTACCGGGCCGCGGCGCCCAGCTGATGCCGGTACCGGGCCGCAGCGTCAAAAAGGTTGGGGATCACTGAGCTAGAGGATCAGCTATGCTGGATTTGAGTCTTACTAATAGGGATGAAATGGTTGAGGGAGTGGAAGTTGTAAGAACTTTGGAGAAGAGTGACCATGTCATACTTGAATTAACCATAATGCAGGTGCAGGTGACCAAACCAAGTTAGACATGTGTTTCAAATTTTAACAGAGCTAACTTCAATAAACTAAGAGAGAGGGAAGAGTCCACTGATAGAAATCCTAGGGGGGAAACAATCCAGGATTCTTTGGATACTCATAAAAAACAAGATAAAGGTCCAAGCAAAAACAATACCACAGAAAAAGAAAAGCAAGAGATTCCAGATGAAATCAGCATGGTTATATCAAGAGTTTTCTGAAAAGCTGAGGGACAAAAAGGACAAGTATAAAGAATGGAAAGCGAGACACATAACTAGAACAGAATACTAGCAAACAGTCCGAATCTGCAAGGATGGAGCCAGGAAGGCTAAGGTTAGAATAAGCTAAGACTTGCAACAATTGGTTTAAAAATAACAAAAAAGTTTCTTTCACTATGTAAAGAACAAGAAGAAAGTCAGAGAAATAATCAGTCCGCTAATCAGGGAAGATGGCAAGAAGGTGACAGGTAGTAGGAAGAAAACAACTGCTGAGTTCCTTCTCTCTAACTGTCTTTATGCAAAAGGAAAAATAGTACAACCTATCTAAACCAGCACAGTGGGGGACAGAATAGGAATGCAGGTCAAAATAAGCAAGGAATTGGTAAGAGAACATCTATCCACTTTGGACAAGTTGAGATCTCTGGGACCAGGTAGTTTCTATCCCAGGGTACTGAAGGAGCTGGCAGATGTGACCTGGGAACCAATGAATAGCAATAGCAATAGTACTTAGATTTATATATTCCACTCTGTAGTGCTTTACAGCACCTTCTGAGTGGTTTACAAAGAGGTCTTCAACAATCTGGGTCCTCATTTTACTGACCTCAGAAGGATGGAAGACTGAGTCAACCTTGAGCCGGTCAGGATTTAACTCTTGGCTATGGACAGAGTTAGCTTGCAAAATGGCATTCTAACCACTGTACCACCATGGCTTATGAAAGAAATTAATCTGAGGGGATTGAAGGTGCCTCATCAAATCAAGGTAGGGGGAATTACTAACACTTTGGAAGATAGCCTTAAGATTCAGAAGGATCTTGACATATTGAGCATTGGCCCTATCCAACAAAATCCAGTTCAGTGGTGGGAAAAGTAAAGTCCTGTGCTTAGGCAGGGAGAACCAAACATATAGATACAAAATAGTCAGTACCTGGCTCAACAGTAGTACCTTTTAGAGAGATCTAAGTGTCCTGGACTAATAGTATAAGTCAGCAATGTGTTGCAGCTGCCAAAAAAAGCTAATGTAGTCCTAGGCTGCATCAACAGGAGGATAGCATCAAGATCATGAGAAGTGACAGTACCACTCTATACTGCACTAGTGAGGCCATACTTGGAATACTGCATACATGTGATGACCAGGGGTGTGGCACAAAGGCAACACAGTCAGATAATCAGTAGGAGTCCCTTTATTAGCTCCAACTTTGCCCGCATTGTCCTGGTTACCTTCTGGCTGGAGAAAAACTCCCAGGAACAGCCTTTGGCTGCAGAGAATCAAGTCCAAAACGTGGTCAACAAAAACTGTAACTGTAAGTCCAAACAAGACAAAATGAGGTAATTAGTCTGGCAAGGCAGGAGAAGGAATTCCAGATGTGAAGGCACGGCAATAACTCAACATGGTTGGGAGGATGCCAGGAACTCAGATAACCAAAGTAAACACAAGATAAACTCACATTTGTTCCCAACAGATGCCACATTCAGCATGCATCTTTTAAAAACTCTGTTCCCAGTTGTGGCTAATGAAGGGAATCAGGGCCCTTTCCTCCCCTGTAAGCCATGCAACCCATGTTGCTCTCTCCTCCGTTCCTCCCTGCATGCCCTAGGATGAAGAGGGGGTGGGCCTGAGTCTTCCCCTGAACTCCCTCTCCCCTGGTCTGCCCAGCCAGACTTTGCCCTTCCCCAGTTTCCTCCACAGCCAACAGGAGCCACACTCCCACTTCCTGTCAGCTGTTTGTCTTCCTCCTCAGATTCAGACTCCAACAGGGGTGTGACAATACAGTTTTGAGCACCACAATACAAAGAAGATGCTGAGACCCTAGAAAGAGTGCAGAGAAGAATGGCAAAGATGATAAGGGGTCTGGAGGTTAAATCATATGAATGAATGGCTAAGGGAACTATCTATAAGTAGCTTCTGCTGTTATGCTTTTAAAACCTGCCACTGCTTCTGGTAGAGTGGCTGAACTTCAGGGGCTGAAGTCCTTGAGAGGCTGTGAATAGATGAAGGATGCAGGTCTGCATGGTTTTGCTGGTTCTGGTCTTCAATACAACCAAAACCATCTGCTCCAGGACTGTTATCCCTTAGACCCTGGCTATACCCCTCATCTCACCCTTGCACTGTTCTCCTCCTCCTCCTTGCCTACAAGTCTAGTAGGGCCAATGACATTATGTTATCATTATAGCAGAAAACACACGCAGCATTGTATTGTATCACTTGACAAGTTTGACTTGTTTGCCATGAACTATACATAGAATAGACTTGAAATATTTCTGAACTTTATTTTTTTTTAAAAGAAGTTATGGCATTTTCTATTAAGCAAAATCAGCACTTTAATAAAGGGAACTTTGTGTGTGTGTGTGTGTGTGTGTGTGTGTGTATGTACTTATTCTTCTATTGGTCTGTCTGATATATGTGGCAGGGCATGATGCACAGGGGACTTCATATATGCCTTGGTTTTCCAGGTAAATTTTATCTATGGGGTTTCTTAGGATGGCTGCTATTTTTCTGTCTGTTTTGAAGGCAGTCTTGATGTGATGGCTGTGTAGTATCTTACTGATTTTGTCTGTAGTACCTCTTATGTAGGGCAGGACAGCTGTTCCATAGGTCTGTTCATCTTCTAGGTCTCTATTATGTCTCACTTGTTTTTGTGGATCAGGCCTGTGATTTTGCTTTTGTGGAAACCATTGGCTGTCCGCACTTTAATCAGGGTGCATAGTTCAGTCTTTATGTGTACATAAAAACTGAACACATAAATAGTGAACTATGCACCCTGACTAATGTACTGACAGCCAACGGCTTCCACAAAAGCAAAATCACAGGCCTGATCCACAAAAACACACCTGTACCCGCCTGGATGAACACAAAAATACAGTAAAAAAGCTGGAACACACTTCCTCACTAGTCCAACACATGAAAGCCACAGGTCATAGCATCAACTTCAATGGTACCAAAACCCTAGCTGAAGAATTATCAGAGAAGCCATAGAGATTGAAAAAAGACCTGAAAACATGAATAGAAGAGATGACTCCACCAGACTGTCAATTATCTGGAAGTCTGCACTCACAAACAAAAAAATCTCCACACCACAAGCCAAGCAAACACCTGGGCACAAACAGACCCCCCCGATACCTCCAGCTCAAACACACCCCAACCAGCCACC